AAAAGAGGAGGATGGGCATGGATGTTAGCTCAGGGCTGATCTTCCTCACACACAAAAAATAAATAAAATAAAAAAATAACCTTGAGAGGCATCTTGTATTCAACAATTAAAATATCTGAGTACATACTATGTGCTAGGAACGATGCCAGACCCAACAGTCACTAAGACACAGGCCTTGCCCCCATGGAGGTCATTATCTCCAGGGTAGACAGTCTCACATGCCCAAATTGTCTAATCAACATATACACGTGGATGTCCAATATTCATCTCAAAAGGGAACTCCTGATTCCCTGTCCCCCCATCACCACCCTAACACACACGCCAAACTGCTCCAGTTGCAGTATTTCCCACCTCAGTTAACAGCAACTCTCTCTTGCCAGTTGTTCAGGCCAACAACATTGGTGTTGCCTTGATGTTTTCTCTCTAACAGTCCACATCCAATCCAGCAGAAAATCTTCTTGTTGTCTCTACCTTCAAAATGAATTCAGAACATGACCACTTCTCACTCCCTCTGCTGCTATGATTAATGCACATCATCCCTAATCTCTCTCCTTCTTCCTGAGACCATACCTCCAAACATCTACTCTCAACACAGAAGCCTGATGGTCCTCAGGGAGGGTCCTGGCTATAGATGACTGATTGACCGATCGACTGATGTATATAAAACCATGAAATCAGACAAGATTACCAAGCGAAGGAGTGTAAATAAAGGAGAGATCTAAGGACTGGGCTCTGGCATATTCCAACATCAAGAAATTGAAGGAAAAAGGAAGAACCAGTAAGCAGAGACTGAGAAGCAGTAACCAGGGAGGCAGAAGGAAAACCAGAAAAGTATGGTATACTAGAAGCCAAGAGAGGAAAGTATCACAAGGAGAAAGTGATCAACTGCATGAAAAGTTGTGAACTGACCAAAAAAGATGAAGACTCAGAGTTGACCATTAGATTTAGCAACAGAGAGGTGACTCATGACCTTGAGAAGAACAGACTCAGGTGAATAACAGAGGTGGGGTGTGACTGAAGTGAATTCAAGAGAAAAATGGAAGGAGAGAAATTGGTGACAGTAAATGTAATCAATTCCTTCAAAGAGGTTTGTTCTACAGACGTGCAGAAAAATGAGGAACTAGCTGTAGGAGGCAGTAAGACCCAGAAAGGGTTGTTTGCTTTTAAAGGTAAGAGACACAGCATGTTGGATGTTGATAGAAATGATGTGGTCAAGAGGGATACACTGATGACGTAGGAGAGCAAGGGGAGAACTGCTGGAGCAATGTGGTGGTGCAGAGGTGAGGGGATGGGAGTGAATGCCCTTGCCCAGAGATTGGCCTTGGCTAAAAGCACAGACACTTCGCTGGTTCTAAGTAGCGAGACGACAGCATTAATGAGGAAGGACTTTGTGGCTTAGAAGAAAGGTTTCTCTCACATGTAAGGGAGTGTGGGCAAAGACACAAAAGGGTAAGTATAAGCTGGGAAGGGATGGTGGATGAGGGTGGAGGGAAGGGTATGGAGAATCAAAATTGAAAGCCAGAAGTGGAGATGGATTCTGGAAGTTACCATAGCAAATTACTATTAGAGCC